ATAAATAAAAAATAAAAATAAATAAATAAATATAAAAATATATATATATATATTAAAATAAAAAACAGACCGAGAACATCGCCTTCTTTCGGGCCCGGGCCTACATCGCTGACTGCGGAAATGATCGTGTTCTAGAGGCCACTTGTACCTTAAGGATGAAATGAACCCTAAAAGGGTTTAGGGTTCATTTACCATATAGGGATTCATAGCATAAGGGTATAGGGCCCCCGACTTTTAAGGGTCATTTCGTCCTAAAGGTATAGGGGTGGGAGGTTCAGCATAGAAGCCCGAATACTTCATTGGTATGTTTTGTATGATACTATTCCTTGGGGTTTCGTGTGATGGCTATGGCAAGCAAACCCCCGCAAACAAATATCCTGGTGATTATAAGGCACCCAAAGAAAACAGCTTCGGGGCTTACGGCTTCAAAGGTGAGTTTATACAGGTTATAAACCCTACCTCTAGTCTCCATTGTAGTTCCTTTTTTGGGGTTACCTTTTAGGATCCTTAATATAGATTTTGGTTAAACAAAAAAGGGAATTCAACGGAGACTACAGGTAAAACCTAAATCCTAAGCCGTATAAGGTCAGATCTCGGCTTGCATTTCTTTTACTCTTTTTGGGTTTAGGTTGAAGGGCTTAGGGTGTAGGTGTTGACGGTTAGGGTTTAGTACGACCCTTTTGGGTTGGGGGTTTTAGGGTTTATGGGTCTAGGGTTTAGGGTTGTAGGGTTTAGGGGTCTAGGGTTTAGGATTCAAGACCCTCTTGGGTTTTAGGTTGTTGTAAGGTTTCGAAACCCTTTTGGTTCAGAACTAGTTATGGCTTGTGCTGCATTGCCCACCAGTAGTACAACAGTCCATCCAGGTGAAGCCGGGCGAGAAGAAGGGGAAAATTGTGTTCGGCAGTTTGAAAGGTCCTTCTGATGTTACCTTCTTCGAAGGCAACGCCTACATCGTTGAGACTCAGTAGATGATTTTGAGAGCGTTGGGTGTTTTTTTGTGTGTCTGCACGGCACTTTTTCGATTGATTTTGATCCATCAAGCGGGCAACTGAGGAAAAGCCAAGGCATCGCATCTTAAAGGTGAAGCTTGGTGCATCGCATGGAGAGACCTTCTTCGGTGGCAATCAGTCAGCCTGGTCGTCCTTGACCAGCTTACTCTACCCACAGCGCCTTGGAACATTGGCTTGGCTCCTAAACCTAGGCCCTATCGCCCTAAACCTTACAAGGAGATGGCCACCAATTCCGGTGGTGTTGCTCTCAAACTAGAGAAACCGCAAGCTCCCTAAATGTGGGGTGTTAAGGGTTTATGCCCGACAGTAAGTGGTAGAGAAAAATCTTAGATACGATTCGAAGCTGTGAGCACCATCATCCCAGCCGGCTGTGGTGTTTTAAAAATGTCGGGCTCGGGTTTAGGGGTGAGGGTTTCCGGGTTTGGGGTTTAGGGTTTAGGGCTTTAGGCTTTAGGGTTTAGGGTTTCGGGTTTGAGGGAACCCTACAGACCCTACCCCAAACCTCACCTAAACCCTGCACCGCCATTCATTGGCCGCCGAGGCGGATCAGCTTCTATGGAGGTAAGGCGTACATCGTCGACACGCAGAACGCCCGAATTCTGAAAGTGACACCTGGAGAGACTAGGCCAAAAAGGATCACTTAGGAAAGAAAAGTAGTGTAGTGATGTATGTAATTAGGTAGGATGCCTTTGCGATGTTTCTGCGTTAATTAGATGCTTACAAGCGGTTGGTTAAGCAGGGTTTCCAGAACAGCCCAGGAGAAAAAGGCTGAGCTCTTCTTTGGACAGAAATGGTCCGGAGACACGCTTGCTCAACTGAATACGCCTGCGAGCATTACCTTCTTCCAGGGCAGTGCCTACATCGCCGATGCCATGAACAGCCGCATTCTGAAGTTGCTGGTCATACGACCGCTCTCAACACCCTTTAACCTCAACGGCAAAAACTCCCTACGTTCTACACCTCAGACTCGCTTAGAACCCTAAACCCTAAACCCTAAAAATCTAGAAATTGTAGAAATCTCCTGCACCCCTGCTGCTACCCCACAGCAAGCCAGGTTCCCAAGCATTCATTACCGGTAACCCCAAAGAAACCTGCTTTTGCAAGGGCATGCATGTGTATGTATATATGTATATATATATATACAGAGTATATACACACATATATGTTTATTCATTCATTTATTAATTTTTGAGGAGGTTAAAGTAGACCCTAAACTCTAAACTGCGGGACTTAACATGTAGTCTGTGTTGGGGCCTTTCTCCTCCTAGCGGTTCCCAAGTTGTCGCCTCATCGCCTTTCGCAGCCTGTGGTCTCCTTGTTGATACGGGAGAGTAGCTTAGGGTTTAGAGTTTAAAGGTCTAGGGTTTAGGGGTTTAGGGGTTTAGGGTTTTGGTGTTTCGGGGTTTAGGGTTTAGGGTTTGACGCACAAGGAACGATTCCCAAGGACTTTTGATGATATAAACCCTGCATTACCTTGATAGGGTTTAGAGCTTATGGTTTGGGGTTTAGGCTGCATTACCCTAAGGACCCCAAGCTATGGGAATTATGGCATATATTCCTTATTATCGGTAATGCAAGATTTATTTCATCAACCGTAGTACCCCGTATCCCCCTTTTCACATTTCGTGTTTCCCTTGGAAGAGTGAAAAGCGGACGACAAGGGAAATCGTCTTGAAGGAGTTAGAGGCAAACCCGGATCAAACCTGACCTTATTTTGGACCCTTCAACTCGTAAAAAGAACCTGGACCCTAAAGACTCTACCTTGTTAGGGCTCCTTATGCTTATTGTCTTACATAAGTCTTTAAACAGGTAGGTTATTTAGGGTCCAGGTAACCCTTACATCAGGGCCCTAAACCCTAAACCCTAAGCCCTAAGCCCTAAACCCTAAACCTTAACCCTAAACCCTAAACCCTAACCCCAAACCCTACTCAGCCCTAAACCCTAAACCCTAACCCCCAACCCTACTAAGCCCTAAGCCCTAAACCCTAAACCCGGTCGAATCCTCAGCCCAAGGCTGGCTCCGTTCATGCGCGAAGCGGAGGTCTTCTTCGAAGGGGCCGGGTATCTGTCACCAGGCTATTATAACATAGTACACTATGATTTACTAAAGTACGCTTGAAGATTCTTTACTATTCATAATCTATTTGTAGCAATTGTAGTATTCATAGTTGTTAATATGTTTACGAATATGAAAATATTCATAACTCATACTCATGTTCATATTCTTCCATATTCAATTGATATCGTAAAGTATAAGATAAGTTCTAATCTCTTGAGATCTGAAGCCTTTTGGGTGAATGAGCTTGAGAAAGTTGCCGCAATGGCTCTGCTGGGTTCCATAGCCGGTTTGGGGCTTCTGTTGGGTTCCATAACGGGTTTGGGGCTTAGGGTTTAGGGTTTAGGGAACGGGTTTGGGGGTGACCTTTGTGGGCCTTTGACGGCAGTTTAGTCCAGCCTTGGGATGTGGTTGGGGTTTTCGCTTAGACACGGGAGCAACGGGGATCTTGAACCGAGCGCCTAAAACCCTAAACCCTAAACCCCCCCAAAACCCTAAACCCTAAAACCTAAACCCTAATCCCCTAAACCCCTAAAACCTAAACCCTAAACCCCTAAACAATAGACCCAAAAAGAGCCTCTCCCAGAAGCACAGGTCCGACGTCACATTCTTCGATGGCGGGGCTTACGTTGCCAACGCAGGCAGCTTGGTTTAGGGTTTAGGGTTTAGGGCTTTTGAACGGGATCGCGGGGTCTGTCGACCTGAAATGCCCCCTTTCCAGAGAGGAACCCGCAAAGGAGCCAGTAAAGAAGGAGTAGACCGCCCCTGATGCGAAGCGAGCTTTAGAAAGGTGTGGGTCTGCAGGAAGACGGGTTAGCAGTTGAAAAGGGGCCCTTTTGTTCATGTCAGCTACTTCGCCTTTGGGGAAGCTTTATACTTGATGGGCCTCTATGCATAGCTTCTACGTCCCTAATAATCAGGTAACTCCCCAGACACGAACCCACAAGATTTGGGGTTTAGGAGTTTGGGCTGGCATATTGAAACCTCAAACCCTAACTAAGCCCCCTTTTCGACTCTATCTTCCGTGCGTCGACTCTAGACAGATGCAAGGCGAACCGACGCAGAAACTCAAACATCCCCCTTAACTGCAAAACCTTTCTTATAGTTCCTTCGGTACTTTGCTTCTGGATGGTAGGGGCCTAACCCTACTGAACTAGCGGCTATCCGAACAAACGAACTACATAGAAGAGTATAGGTATTCCTCGAAGCGTAGTAGAAATCCTGAACGAGTCTGGGGCCCTAAATTCGTGGACCCTAGGGGTATATGTACGTATATGTACTCATATTGTATATACATTGGCCTTAAAGTAGTCCCAACATGGGTACATTGGGCCCAAAGTACATATATATATATATTTATATTATATTTGGTACATGAACCCTTAGGGGGAGGTAGGAGTTTCTGGCAGTGCAGGAATGGGCAATCGCATCCTGAAAGTTCATCCGACGGGGACGGAGATCTTCTACGGAGATCGCGCAGCTAGGCTCAAGCCAATGGGTGTAGGCTTCAGGAGGCTTTGTGGGTTTATCGGGACTCTAGGGCGTAGGGCTTAAAGCAAGTCTAGGGCTCAGGGGAATTATCCACCAATTATGGGGTTTAGGGTAATTATGGAAAAACTTTATGGGTTTAGGGTAAGTGACTCTGCAGGGATCATGTATAGCTTCATAGGACTGTATTGGGCTACACATGGGCGTATAGGGTTCTATAGATTGTAGATTATAGATTGCGTGGTGCTTGAAAGATCTACATCAATTCCCTTACCCTCAAGGAGCTCGTATTTGAAGGCTTTTGGGCCCAAAGACCCTATTATGTAAGGCTGTTGGGCTATTTTGATGCTAAGGGATTAGTGTAGACCCAGGATGAAAGATCCCACGCACCGTCCTGTTCTTGGGATTCTCACAAGGATCCTCATCCTTCAGGCATTTTGGGAAGAGTTGTATGAATTGATTTAGGGTTTAGGCTTTAGGGTTTAGGGTTCAAGAACCTGTAGGACTCTCGAGAACCCCAGAACAGTCCTTCAGGAAACAGAAGGGGGGGTTATCCAAAGGCTTCCCACACTGTTCCCGCGTATGTGCCAGAGATTTGAGGGTGAATTTAAGAGTTCGCAGAGACTTCAGAAAAAAAAAGTCTTAAGTGAATAGACTAACTGGTGGTGGACCGTGTGTTGCAGAGATCGATCTTCGCTGGAGAGCTCCCCAGTTCCCAATAAGAGGGTCTTTGGTGCTTAGAGAAATAAGGTTCTAGGGTTTTAGGCTTAGGGGTTTAGGGGTTTTAGGGTGTGGTATGGTTGGTTACTTCTTTTGAGGGGAGAGAATGCGGCCAAAAGGCATGTAGTGTGCCTAAACCCGAGATGTGGGGCAGTCCTTGCTGAAGTAGTGTCCACCGTAAACCCCCAAAGCCCGCACGCGTCACAGCAGTGAGAAAAGGAGCCTTCAAAAAGCATGCTTCAGCAAAACAAGCCCAAAGCCACAAGGAACCGAAACCACGTCACAACAGCCCTATACTAGGTCCTATACCCTAGACGCTAAGCCCTAAGCCCTGAACCCTGAAACCAAAACTCCAAAAAGCCCTAAACCCTGACGGTGATCCTACATTCCCAAGGCTCTTCTGCTACACTCCAGCTGGCTCAGAAGCCTCAAGATGCACGAGGGCCATGCCTACATCGTGGATGAAGGCTAGAGTGTTTTGGGTTCAGGGGTTTAGGGTTTAGGGGTTTAGGGTTGGGGGTTTAGGGGGTTGAGGGTTTAGGGTTTTGGGGGGTGGCTAGAGACCGAAAGCATGCAGATAAGCACGAGCTACAGACCCGTAAGGCCCTAAACCCCTAAACCCCAAACCTTCATCGGGACATTGCGTTCTAAAGTTTCTGTTCAGGTGCTTTTCTTGAGCTCCTGGATGGTGAAGCTTAGGGCATAAGGTTGGAAAAGGTTGGTGATTAACTTCGGATTTGAGTGGAATACTTGGCTGAGAGGACGACCCAGCCTTTGTCTTGGACAATGCACCTAAACCGCTACAAAATCCCGCATAGGTCTGTAAAAGCCCCTATCAGCCCTTTCAACAGGGACTGAACCATGAAACCCCGCAGCGGCAACAGCATTCGCCCACGACCCTAAACTCTAAACTTAAACCTCGAAGCCCCTAAACCCTACAAGCCCTAAACCCCTATAAACCCTAAGCCCTAAACTTAAACCCTACGAGCCCTAAGCCCTTATAAACCCTAAGCCCTAAACTTAAACCCTACAAGCCCTAAGCCCTTATAAACCCTAAACCCTAAGCTTAAACCCTACGAGCCCCTAAGCCCTTATAAACCTTATAAGCCCTAAACTTAAAACCCCTAGAAGCCCTAAGCAGGTGCTGGTCGGGTTCTGAAGCTGCAACCTGGCGTGCTCGGTGGGGAGATTGCTTTCCCACCCCTCGGAAGGAAGGCCTTCACGGCAACATAAGCGGATTTTTGGTTGGGCTAAAGCCTAAACCCTAAACCCTCAACCCCTAAACCCCTAAACCCCTAAATCCTAAACCTTAAACCCCTAAACCTCTAAACCCCTAAACCCTCAAACCCTAAACCCTATTGGGTTTAGGGAGCAATTACAAGGGGATTTTTGGTTGGGCTAATCAGCCGGAAGGATCCTAGGTACTGTTGTGGGGGATACTTCCCCAAGCCAATATAGTAATGCCGGATATATAGAAGCCCTACAGTCTACTATAAACCCTAAACCCTAAACCCCAAGCCCTACGTTCCCTACATTCTGCTAGATAGGTGCTTACGACCCTTTGGGAAGGACTTCAGGGCTTTCTAGGGAGCTTATGGGGGCTTTCAAGGGGGGAAGCTTCGGCGGTTTCGGGTTTAGGGTTCAGGGTTTAGGGTTTAGGATTTAGTTAGGGTTTAGGGTTTAGGGGTTTAGGATTTAGTTAGGGTGTAGGGTTTAGGGGTTTGGGATTTAGTTAGGGTTTAGGGCTGCTAATAGGGTTTAGGGTTTTAGTGTAGATGGTCTGGGAGCCAAGGTCGTCCGGGTCTTCGAGGAGTGACTGGGGCTTCAGGTATTGGACACCATACGTGCACGCATAGATACATGCAAATGTACAGACAGACAGATAGATAGATAGATAGATAGATACACCGATGCCGAGAGACAGAGAGAGCGAGAGCTTATAGAGTAAACATTTGTCAGGTGTGCTTGACGAACATGTGTGTGGTTTGCCGTGATTTAGGCCCTCGCGAATACCTACGTTTCACGATACGTGTAAGAAGTGAGCGTAACCAAGGGGCCACAACTAAACTCTGCTTCACAAATCGCGACCCAATTCAATTTCCGAAGCCCAAGACCCTAAACTCCAAACCCTAAGCCCTAAATCCTAAACCCTAAGAGCGAAAGCCTGAACCCCAAACCCTAAACCTCTCGATTGGACATCCACTCGAAATCCCAACGCTTGCTGCCCTAAACAGAAAGGGTTTTAAAGTTTAGGGTTTATGGTTCAGAGTCTAGGGTTGAGTGTTTAGGGTTTAGGGCTTAGGTAAACTATTCCCAGAACCCTGCAACGATAAATCCTACTGATACTTGTCGTTACCTCAAAACTAAGAGCTTTGATACACCAAAAAGACCCGCGAGCTCTGGTTAGGAGATTCCGCAAAAGGATGCCAATCTAAGGAATCCCAAATTCCCAACCGTAACGAACATACGCAAATAAACCCCCTGAACCCACAACCTATAATAACCCGAAGCCGAAGACCCTAAACCCTACAAGCCCGAAGCCGAAAACCCTAAATCAAGCTAGAGCGAAATTGAGCCTGCTTCGGCCTACTCGGTGAACAGCGACCCGAAGAGGCGTGTCTGCGTGATGTCACCTTCCACAAAGGCAGCATGTACATCGTGGACCCCGGGTGCCTTCCGAGCAAGAAATTCTCACTTGTGTTTCGTGCTTTGGTTTTGGATGTCGTTTTCTGTATCAGGATGGGCTTCTATATGAAGGCCGGGATCACCACCTCATTTGTGTGTGTGGGTTTCGCGTGTAGCATGCTTCAAGGCCGTGGATTTCTCGCATTTAAGGGGGGGAGGCTCTATATGTCGTGAGTTACGGCAAATTCCCATCGCTTATGCGCCCCAAGCCCTCAAGCCCTAAAGCGTTTGAACTGGGAATCTACCAATCAATCAAGCACTCAATCAATCAATCGTTCATTCGTGCATGCATTCAATCAATCACACGCGCAGTGTATGTGCGTGTATACACATACAGATGTGAGTGCTTGTGTGCCTATTTTGTTTTGATTTGTATGTAGATCCAGGTATGTGAGTGTGTGCGTGTGCATGTTTGCATATATTCGCATGTTCAAACCCCAAAAAAAATCACAACCCCAAACCTAAACCCTAAACCCTAAACCCCACACCCTAAACCTGAATGACACTCTATACAAGGACTTTCCAACCAGAGGGACCCTTCGTCGAACCGCGTGTAGATGCCATGGAAATCTTACGAACTCCCGGAAATACGATTGAATGTTCCCACCAAAATCTTAGAAACCCTATATATCGAGCTTCAAGACCCTATGAAATCCCACCCTAAACCCTAAACCCTAAACCCTCGGAAGGTGCTCTGCAGAGAGTGGCGGGCGCATCTTGAGGCTGGAGCCTGGGCAGGAGGAGGCGGCGGTCTTCTTTGGTGAGGAGACTGTGCCGGGGTTTGGTTTAGGTTTAAGGGTTTAGGGTGATGAGGCTAGGAGTTTAAAGGAAAATTCAGGAATAGTTGGAGCACCATTCTCCTGGTACCCTTAATGTAAAATATAAGGGATCCTAGCACTAATCATCCTATATCCATGTTCCAACTTTCTGGGAACCACTTTAGATGGTTTGCCTGTGGCCCGAACAGACCTAGCGCTGCGAGGAAGTGCGTAAAGGCCCAAACCCTCGATTATGGTGTAAAGGTTATCGTTTCCCCCTAATATTAAAGGCCCCCCCCCCGCCCTAATATTAAAACTGGATTTCGGC